AACTGTACCTGAAATTTAAAACGTACTTAACAATTGAATCGTAACAATTATATTACATGTATAACATGCCATTCTGCATGTGTTATATTTGAATATTTTTGTTATATATACGAGAATAAATTTGAAACTACAATCTAATATGAAAATTCTTTTGGCGATTTCATTTACATTGTAACATATAAGCATTTAATGCATACTTATATACTTAGAAATACTATATAATTTTACTATGTATACTCTATTTCGACTACATAATGTCTATATAGTAAAGATTCATTTTTCTGCAACATATAATTTACATAATAATTTTAATTTCTATAGCAAATTAATTCAAATGGCATAAACATGTAGTTAAATATTCAAAAAATTATATTATATAGTATGTACTTTTGCAAGTATATGTAGGTATTCATGCATTCTTCTATTAACCGTATAAAAATACAGTTGAATAAGCATCCATTTATTTTATATAAAATTGTAGAAAATAATGTGTTATTTCAAGTGTTGTGTTCAATTTTAATAACAAAAGCAAATTCAGATTGGGAAATTTCATTTACGGAAAGCATATATCAAATTCAGAAATATATTTGAAATAGTTTCTGACTTTTAATAGTTTAACTTTTTAATTAATTTTATAGATTTCTCGTAAAATTAGATTAAATTAAGATTTGATCCATTGTGGCATCCGTTGATATCTCATAAATTTTTGGAGTATATATATGTAGATCACCTAAAAACTAAGATTAATCAGTTTATAAACAAAACTACTACGCAATTCAAGATACAACAAAACTTTACCATACTTACGCTAACTACGTATGTATGGCTTTTCTAACTAATATTTTTTCTACACGACAACTCGGATTCAAAAGTCAAAATCTAAATCAAATATAATGTACAAATAGTAATATACTCAAATTTATATAGAATATTCGAATAAAATCGATTATAATTCTTACTATGTACCAGTTAAAAATTTAAACGTTCACATATACTCTAATTTTAAAATACATACACGTTGCTAATTTAATTCATACAGGTTCAACATAACAATAGGCACATTAACTTCAGTTAGTATTAAATATTACATTAACAGGTCTAAAATATATTTAAATAGATTGTATAAATATGAGATTGTGAGGCGTCTTTTTCAACATTATTTCAATATAATTTAAATATCTGTCTATACTACTCGATTAAAATTCTTCATTTTATTCATACCATATAGTCACATTTTTATTATAAAAATTTTATTTTTATTTAAACTCTTAATTCTTAAGGTATTGCCAGTAAAATAGCTGAAAAGACCATATTGTACTTTTCACAATAGTTAAAACACACAACTCTATGATATTTTTGTTTCCTTTTGCTTGTTTTTATTCTTTCGTGTCTTTCTTTTAAAGTTTTCATTATAAGCACTTTTATGCTTACCGTTACGCTTCCTGCTTTTTTTAAAGATATGGGGAAACCATTCAAAAAAGACGAATTTTATGGGTTCTTTTATAAGAAACGAAGAAAAAATAGCAGGCAAAAAATCCACCATAATAATAATTTTTTTTTTGCATTCATTTTCTTGTTGCTTTGTTATTTCGATGAAAAAATATGTAAAAAATAAAAGGGGATTATGTTTTTTTTTTTTAATAGAAACTATATGAATTGCAACTAAGCAACAAAATCGAAATTTCAATTCATAGCTCAAACAAACTTCATTATAATATTTGTACTTACATATAAGTTGTTCTAATATAACAAAGCTAAGGGTATTATAAATTCTTACTTTCACTCTGGATAACTTATAGAACAGATCTCGCTTGTGGACAGTTATGGTAATTTAACACATGTTTGCTCATTTTGCAAAAAATATTTCCAATAACAAATTTAGTGTCGTCCCGCAAAAAGAAATTCAACCCAAATACGACCAAAGAAAATATTGTACAGGCGTCAAACGATATGATCACGACAGTCAAATAACAAGTTCGAAACGTAAATTTAATTACTTGAAAATGAACTAAACTGAAATTTCTCTGAGAGCAATTAATTCTCTGCTAAGGTATAAAAATTTTGCTGTATTCATTTACAACATGGATTTTCTGAAACATAATATTTTTTCCATATGACAATAGAATTTAGTGAAGTGAATTTTTGAAAAAATAAATGTTAAGTTAGGTTATGAAAAGCATATTTAAAAAAAAAAATATGTAAACTGTACAGTGTCTATATATTGTAAGTAAGTTTTTTAATAAGAACAATAAAAAAAACTCGCATACATAAATAGAAATATACTTAAATATTTAATAAATGTATGAATAACGTCATATTAACATTAAATAGGTGACACAATTTTAAAATAAAAAGTTATTTCAGAAAAGTTATACTTTCTATGGAAAAAAAAATATGCAGTTACACTTTTGCATTATTTTTTATATATGTACAAATCTAAATATGTTATATTAAATATTTTACACTAAATAGATATGTGTGTATATATTAATATAACATCGATATGATAAATACACATGTAGTCAAATTGGTCTTCGATGATATGGAATAATATTAAATTGTTACAAAATTGATGCCCAAAAATTTTGAATAACACTTTAAATTTATGTAATAAGTACAACTCACTAAATTTTTAATATACAAACCCTTAAAGCTCATCTGCGAATACATACAACATCGTACTGAACTCATATTACTCCAATCCGTCCAAACCATCATAAACACTTATTTTATACCTACTAATACCTACTTATATCCACACAGAACACATTAAGTATTTACTTGTATACAAAAATTAAATAATTTTTGAAATATAGAGCATTTGTTAGGTTGAAATCAAAAGAATTTCTTAAATACAAACAAAAATAATTTTCAAATTTACCATTATTATTTCAACCTAATTTAATTATACATACTTGTTAACCAACATATTTCTAAATTACATAAACATTATTGTGCGCGCACATGTACATTGTCATAATACAAAATATAATTCAATTTTTTAATATTTCCAAAATTCTGTCTATGTATGTATGTATGTACATACTTTCATATAATATATCCTAATCATATAATATATCCTACATCTAACTATTTCGGTTTAAATTAATTTTTCCGTTATGTATAACACAATATTGCACTACATAGTGCGATGACATTTCAAGGTCAAATTTTTAACTAAAATTTATTATTTTTATCTAACCATATTCATTTTGAATTGAAATGTTTTCTTATTTCTGTACACATATATATACATACATATACATTTTAAGAATATTAATGTTTAAAAATCACTCGAATTAAATTAAATTAGGTTCATTGTCTTTTTTAAAGTATACAAATGAAATGTTAATAAAATTAGAAAAGAATAAGATCATTAAAATTACTCATAGGTTGTTTTACTTTTTAAACCTTTTTTTTTTTCCTTTTGAACAAATTTTAATTTGGGCGCGTATTTTAAGTGGCTGTAAAAAAAAAAATTCAAATTTAAAAGAATGTCGGTTTTGTCATGGCTACTTATTACACAGGTATTTAAAGATATTCAGGTAATAAGAATTTCAATTAAAATAAGGTTTTTGTATTTAATATGGGTTATGTGTACTTGATTTGATAGTTTGATTTAAAAATTTTTCAATATAATTTGTTCTGCTTCCATTTTAAATAATGGAATACTCGTATAAATAAATAAATTTTTATTTATTTTCTATTTTTAGATTTGCTAATTTGCATGTTATTTGTACCCCTGAGACTGCCCTGTATTACTTAAGCGTATAGCAATAAACAAAAACAATATTCTTTCTACATTTTTGTAAGTTAATTTTTATAATAATTTTCAAAACTTATTCAACCTAAAATAATTTAACCTACATGTTTGTTATACCTTGTTTTTTTTGTTTCATTTTAATAATTATAATAAAAAAATATTAATCTTTTCATTTTTAACTGCAATTCAATGAACTATAATAAAAGACAAAGTAATAATAATAGTAATTAAAATTATTAAAAAAAAATATAATGAAATTTTAAATCAAGTGAATACAAAAAGATTTTCGAAAATAGATTAAAAAATTAAATTCAATTAAAATTAAAATTTTTAATGGATTTTTTTTTTGTTTTTTTTTTTTAATATTTATGTATAAATATATGTGAACTAATTTAATTAATTAAATTAAGTTATGTATAACAAAAATTTTTGAGTATTAATTACAAAATATCTGTTTTAAGTTAACCATTTACTCTATATACTCTACCACAGAATTAGTTCAATGACAAATTTAAGACCAATATTGAAATTTTTTTTTTACATAAATTGCTTTTCTATAAATATTAATGAAATATGTTGTAATTATTACAGAACTAGTATATTTTATACATTTACTAGTATTAGTATGATTAACAGCAGTTTTATATTAGTGCAGAAACAGAGAATAAATCGATAATGTATAAAATAATAAAATATAATGCTTACACTCACTAAGCATACATCATAAATATTTTTTTAACAAATTATCAATTCGTAATTCAATTTTTTAAATTTATTATTCAATTGCAAGGCCCTAATCGTATATGGCAATTTTAATCAAATGCTCTTATCAAAAATAGGAAATATGAAAACAATTGAAATTTTTGAAATGCAAGTATATTAACTGTAAACTGAAAATCTTTGCTTCCCTTTCATTTACGTTGAGTACGAAAACAAAAAATGTATGTACTTAACTAAAAATATTCTGTCTTTAATTAAAACAGCATTATAAATGAACAGCGTTTTTTTTTCTCTTTCGTTCACCCTTAGGAAGGATATAGGGTTGAATGAATGCGTTATAATAGAGTCATATTTGAGTTTCGGTAGTCAGTAGGTTAACTAGGTAGATGACTAACCTGCCGTATGTATAAAACAGCTTAATTTTTTTTATATTATTTTTTAAATTAAAACAATTTATCTGCAAAAATTGACAAAATTTTCGAAAACTAAATGTAAATATTAAAAAATATTATCTTACCTTTGTAAAATATGTAATATTTGTAATATATCCAAAATCCTTAATATCAAATTACATTATAAAATTAAAAAAATTTAATAATTAAGTAATAATAATATAAGTAAGTAATTTTTCTCACAATAAATTTGTAAATTTGTAAAAATATTATAGAACACAATAATTATGAAAATAATAAAATAAATTATAACACTTCACTAGGTACAAATATTATGTATATATTTTACGTATTTTTTTATTATTTATATATAAAAAATATATTTTAATAAATATGTAACTATTTTGAATAATCAAAAATCACTACACAATCAATGATAATTTCATTTTATTTGAATTTATTTAAAATTTTGTATATAACACTTACATTGCATTATTTCAATATTTTTCAAATTAATATTTGAAACTTGGTGTAAATAATGTAACGAGATATTTCCAATAAATTGAAACATAAGAAATATATAGCTATTTGTAAGTAATTAATTCCGTAAGTAATTACACTATTGATATTGATAACATTAAACTGTGTAATTTATTTTAATAAATATCCGATTTTATTCAATAAAATTAAATATTACTTAATTGATTTCCTCATTTATTGTAAAAATTGAAGGTAATATTATTATGTTTTGTTTTGATTATATTAAAATTAATGTAAAAGTAATTCATTTATTAAATCAAAAATAATTATAAGTACTTAATAATTATTTAATCCATAATAATTTAAAATACATAATTTTCTTTTTCAATTCAATTAAATATAAGTAATAGATATTACATATTCGTATTATATTTATTAATTTAAAATTGATTTATTTTTATTTACTTTTGATCTATTAATAAATTAATCACGTACATGAATGTGAATTGTTAATTTAATTCAATTTAAAAAAATTATTTATATTACAATATATTGTTTTAAGAAATAACATGATATTATTTTAAAAATCAAATTAATCGATTTAATACTCGATTCAATAATAGTAAATCATATCATCAAATAAATGATTAATATATTTATTTATATACACTGTACATTAATAATTTAATATACGAGTATATTTAATTTTTGTAAACAATTATTTTTCTTTTCGTCATGAAAAATTTCATTTATAAATGAACGGTAACACTTTTATTATTAATTCAAATTTAATTATCATTATTTTCACATTATAAAAGTACACCATAACAATATGTGTAAAGTGTATATATACATACACACATATTTCCAATCAAATATAAATTTTAATATATTTACTTCAAATTTAAAATTATAAAACTATGCAATTATTTTCGTGATAATTTACAAAACATTTAAAATAAAAAATGAACCTATAATTAAAAAAAAAATTTGTTAAGATTATTTATATGAATTTAATAATTAATATTAATAAATAAAATTCACAAAATTTGTATTTAAAAAAAAACACAATAATATAAAAAATTTCAATACACTTTCAAAATTACAATTCAATTGAAATTTGATACCGCGCGCGGTTTTTAATAATAAAAAAAAAAAAAAAAACAAATAATAAAAATAAAATTTTACTTTTTTCCCCGTTATATCACTATTAATGTCTTAACAACTTCGATGCCAAAAATTAACTAAAAAAAAACTTCCAATCTCACTAACGAATAATTTATAAAACTCTCAATTTAACTGAAATAGCAATAACATCCAACTGTTGATATTTAACAAAATTTAACAGAAGTATGTTAATAAGAAAAGGTTTAACAGAAAATTATTTTAAAAATGCTATCCTTTCAAAGTTATTTTTTTTTATGTTAAATTATAACATAACATCCATTTAAATCAGATATTTAAAACAAAAAACAAAATGAAAAAATATATGATTTTTAAAATTTAATGAGAGTAATTAGACAATAAAAGTGATATGAAATTGTGATTTTCGAATTTCATGTCATATGATTATTAATTAGTTCAAGAGTTATTTAAATTCTAGATATTTTAAATTAGAAAGAGAGTTGCCGACTAAAATTTTAGATATTTAACAATAATACTCTTTAAATACATAATTAAGTATTATAAATAGAAAATGTGGTTTTATGTATTATAAATGGAAAACTAAAGAACTTAAAAAATTTCTATCTTACACCCAAAAACTCTTTTTCACTCTATTCTATTTAATAAAACCGTAATAATAAACACAATACAATTCGCTGCTTGATTTACTTTAATTCCTTTCATTCTCTATTTAGTTTAAGTAAGAACAGGTGTTTTAATCACAATTCTTAATCACATTTAAAAAAAATTATAATTTACAGTTTATATAAAAATCGTACAGACTACAGATAAAGATCATAAATTTAAAATCTGTTAAAACAAAAATATTCTTCTCTTTATGTTATTCTCTTATTTTAAATAGTTTACTTTTATTTCTTGAATTCAAATTTAAAATTCTCTCAATTTTCCTTCTACCGTTAAATTATTTTTATGGTGTAAAACCATTATGAGACCGGTTATTTTTCTTTTGTTTTTGTTTACATAAATTTTGCTAGTACAAAGTCATTCATATCTATGTCTATATAGAGAGTATACTTGTGTGTATTTAGCTTTTCAATTCGATTGAAATTGAATTTCAACAGTGTTCAATAATATAAATTTTAAAAATATATTATTAATTATTGCAATAAATTGTTTAAAACAAATTGAATGTGGTGGAAACTCGAAATTTAAATATTAATTCAATTGAATTAAAAGTTTTTATATTTCTTTTATTAAAATATAATTTTGAGAGTATGAAATTCGAATGGACATAACAAACAAATAACTGTTATATTATAAAATTAATAAAATTTTTATTTGAGATCTGATTATTAATAATTAATAATCAATTATTGATAAAGTTCTATAGAATAAGTTTGGATATGGGTAAAAAATAAAGCATTTTTTTGCAATGATTTAGAATTTAAAGAATATTATTGTTATTGAAAAGTACATTTTCATGTACATATGTATGTAAATTTGTGTTTGCTTAATATTTCTTTTAATTAATAAGATTTAACCATAAGCTGTGTTTGTTAATAATTTGTTCCAAAATTTGAGTCAGAACTTGTATAACACTTGGAAGGCTGGTATCGACATAATGAGCCCCAAATGCTTTTAACTTAATTTTATAATTAAACCAATATGTAGGTATGAGTCATAGTTACAGTATACCTGTAGAGAAAAATATTAAATTAAAATTACAATTTTAACCATCGTCATAATAGTGGATATTACATTATAATAATTTTAATGTGGGGTCTTTTCCTTTTTGTTATTTTTTTTTTTTTTTGTTTAAGTAATAAAGGAAATTGTATTTTATTTTTAGGGTGATTTTAAGAATAAAAACTTGTCACGTGATGGTGGTATAAAATATTAATGCATTCGAATACAATACAGTATTTTTCTTTCCGTTAAGGTACACAGCACAGAAAATAATTTTTTTTCTGATGCAATAATTTGTTTATATATTTTAAACAATAGTTTCCTTTTTAAGGTTAAAAATAATTTATATGACAGGGACCCTGATCTGGTTATAAATTGACATAAGAATTGTTATTTTAATTGCCATTTCATTATATTCATTCATAACAAAACGAAGCAGGTTTTTTTACAGGTTACGAACTATATAAAACGGTAACACAGCGTAATATTAATCATGTTTGTATGTATGTACTTACATTACGTTCTGGATTCGGGAAAAATACATACAAGCATTCATAGATCCTTGTTTTAATTTTTTTATAACTATTGATTTAAATTCTTAGGTACATAATTCGCTTAATTATTAAGTTAATTATTAATAAACACTAAGGCTGATTTTTATAGAAAATTGCAATGTACATGGTACATACGTTCTTGTGTATGTACAGTTATGTTTTGTAAAGTTTCTATCTTAGGTAAGTTAGGAACTATTTGTTCTTTAGAAATGCAATTTTAGCAATTTAAATTAAAATAAAGTTATTTAACATTCACTCACTACATCCGTTTTCGAACCTGCGAAACTACCACTTAAATCTAGCACTTCAAATCAAGACTACTTCTTACACTTCTTTTTCATTCCAAATTTATGAAGAACTGAATTATCGCGCTTTTTAAAAACTAAAGACAAGACGCTTCATTATTTTCCAATGTTTCCACTAAAAATTGAAATTTATGACAGTTGACAAAAGTTCTTAGGCAAAAAAGTGTTACCATTATGTATATTTTTATAGCATTTTTATTTCAGATTAATTAAGACAGCGCCAAAAAAATACCCTTTTTTAAATAAACTCAGTTTTATTTGTACGCATCTGTAAAAGAAGTTCATCAATAACTATTACTTCTTATACTTGTTTTTCTAATAGTACTTGTGTTGCTCATTTTCTTTTGCATAAAGAGGAAGTGCTTTTTTATGTTATTATTTAATTTAAATTTGTTGTGAAGTGCAATAATCTAAAGTGGATACCGCAACACTTAATATTTGACATTTAAATTTAGTACGAAATGCTCCAAAAAACGTACTATTAGTATGAATTAGGAACAATTAAAATATGCTAAACATTAGAAAAATAAATTCTTTGTAATAAATATGGAAATAATATACACAGGCACATGCTGAAATCGCTTACAAACACTGTTCTCATCATTACCTACTAATTATTCTTTAGTAAGTTTTTTTTTATAAATTCTACATAAAATTCAAATCTTATTTTCGCTTATTAAAACAAAATTGAATCATAAATAACCATAAAAAATAAATTTTTTTACCCATATAAAACGCAAAATAATTTTCATTCAATTTTTTATGTATCTACGTACATTTCGTATACATATATGTAAAAATTTTTAATATACTATCTATTATAAAACCACTGATCATACAATTTTATATTTATATTGAAATTTTCCAAAAAATAATTATTAAACGTATAAAAGATCAGTACAATACAAAGAACGAAAAATAATACAAAAAATAGCAGAGGAAATATAAAACTTCAATAAACATACATACACACGATCTTGAAAATATTATACATACACACTTTATTACTATATTTTACACATTTCTCCCCAAAAAAAAAAAAAAATTAATTACTAAATATGCAACAATCAAACAAACATTTCTATCTATATAAACGCCTTTTTATTT